GTGTTTATATATGTGTGTGTCTGTGTGTGTGTGTGTGTGTGTGTGTGTGTGTGTGTGTGTCTGTGTGTGTGCGCGTGTGTGTGTGTCTCTGTGTGTGTGTGTGTGTGTGTGTGTGGTTTTTCAAAACATCTCCACTCTGGTCTCATCTATTTAAAGGACATTGCTCTAGAAGTCTTATGGTTTGTTCAGATTAGGGTGACCATACGTGCCATTTTCCCAGGACGGGTCCTGGCCAGGATTTCTATATTGCCTAAAATATCTAGGTTTTGGCTTTGTTTGCGTGTGCAGACCGATCAGTGTTTGACATCAAAATACCTCGAGAGCATTTTGAAAGCATAAGGAACCGTCTGTATGGTATTTTGATGTCAAACACCAATCGGTCTGCACACGCAAACAAAGCCAAAACCTAGATATTTTAGGCAATATAGAAATCCTGGCCAGGACGCGTCCTGGGAAAATGGCACTTATGGTCACCCAAGTATACAGCCAGACAGCTCAAGTAGGAAAATACTTGAGAAATACTGTAAAATACTACACTAGCACTAGCACTAGCACAGCTGCTGCTCATTGAGCAAGTCATAATACCTGTTCTCAGCCCCAGTCCTCGCGTAACGTTACCCCCGCTCTGCATGTTTTGCACGTCTCTCTTTGTTAACACACCTGATTCAGATCAGCTCGTTAGAAGTGAGCTCCGTGCATGAACTGTGCCGACTGACATGCTCCCTACACAGTGTGCATTGCTCCCTACTCCCTGAGCAGGGGAGATCCGTTGAAGTTTACTTCACTTCGGAACATTCATTTACAGATTTGCTCTGCCTGCAGTGTCTTCACACACAGACGAAACTTACTAGAGAAGCGTGAAGTGGGACATAATACACCTCTGTAAATAAATACAATTTAAATTCACGTCTCGCACACTTAAATGCCCTTTGTCTGGAACATATACGCTCCCTTCAAACTGGAATCATGGAGGAATATCTGGTGATGTCCACTTCGCAGGGCTCTGTGTGTGTGTGTCTCTGTGTGTGTGCGCGTGAGTGTGTGTCTCTGTGTGTGTGTGTGTGTGTGTGTGTGGTTTTTCAAAACATCTCCACTCTGGTCTCATCTATTTAAAGGACATTGCTCTAGAAGTCTTATGGTTTGTTCAGATTAGGGTGACCATACGTGCCATTTTCCCAGGACGGGGCCTGGCCAGGATTTCTATATTGCCTAAAATATCTAGGTTTTGGCTTTGTTTGCGTGTGCAGACCGATCAGTGTTTGACATCAAAATACCTCGAGAGCATTTTGAAAGCATAAGGAACCGTCTATATGGCATTTTGATGTCATACACACATTTTAGGCAATATAGAAATCCTGGCCAGGACCCGTCCTGGGAAAATGGCACGTATGATCACCCTAGTTCAGATGCAACTTTGCAAACCATGCTGCCATGCTTTTCTCAGATAGAAGAAACATGCCATACTTGTCTCATATTTGTCTAACTGTACTGTCATGAACGTTATCATTTAACATGTTAACTGCGGTGAAGCTCTTGGGTCGTCTGCCATTTCTCTGAGCGTTACACGGTCTGATCTTGGGGTGAATTCCTGTGTTAACAGTAAGAGTGTCCTAACTTTGTCCCCATGACCCCTTTAAACAAAAAATCATGTGATGTCCATTTCAATGGAGGCAGGGTCCAAAGGGGTTAAAAAGTGCGCCGCCTAGCGACAAGAGCAAAGCGGCTCATCATCTCAGAGAGAGAGAGAGAGAGAGATTTTTGAATTTTGAAAAAAATATTTTATTACAATATTTCACATAAAACACCTTTTCAACAAATCAACATTTACCACTTTACATTTACCTTTTAATACCACAAGGAAAAAAACAAAACAAAAACCTTTTTACATTAGTAAAAGAGAAAAAGATATTTTTCCATCAATAACAGAGCACAGAGCATCATTCTTACACCACTTCGTTTCAAAAGTAAAAACGTCATCCATGGATGTATAAAAATGAAAATCAATAAGAATTCTGGATTTAACGGTGGCTAAAAACAGCGTATTAATATCTTGATCCACACCCAGCTCTATCTTGTTTTTCCTGCTCATATAGATTGCTAATTTAGCTTGACCTATAATAAAATTTAAACACTGACAAATAAACCTCTTTCTTCTAACATATCTAAAACCAGCAATAAATATGTTTATAGAAAAAGATTCATTAAAACTATCAAATAAATTATGTAATAACCCAAACATCCTTTCCAGTCTAAAACAATCCATATACGCATGAAAAACAGTTTCTCTCTTAAAACAAAAAGGGCACTCTGCAGTAACATCAGAATTTAAAACTGAAATAAAAGCATTAACTGCTAACACACCATGTAAAAGTCTCCACTGTATGTCCCCAACTCTTTTGCTTAAAGGTGGCTTATACAATGACCTCCATTCTGGTTTTACATCATCATCCAGTTTTAAAACATTACGCCATGGTGTGTCAACCCTTTTATCAAGTGATTTTTTGTTAAAAACAAAAACACACGCTTTATAAAAAGATTTACCAGTACTTGAAAAAAAATTAAGACATAGGGATTTTCCAGAGCTTAAAAACATTCCTGAGACATCATCTAAAACAGGTAAAAGAATAAAATCAGATAAAACATCTTCTTCATTAGGCACATTTTTTCCTTCACAGTGGTCCAATAAAAGTTTCAGTTCATCGGAAGTGAGTCTTTTTTTCCATCTTTCTAGTAAATGAAAAACAAATCGTCTTGACTTGATCTTCAGACTCGTAGCAACTCTTTCCACATTCTCAAAAACTGGTCCAGACAAATTAACTAGACTCCCCATTGTGCATACTTTGGAAGCCACAAGTGTTTCAGTGAGTCCAGGAATTGTACAGTCATTTTGTGCTAAATCAAAGCGTGCTCCATATATTAGTGGTTCCTCAAGGAGCCAGTAAAGAGATTCAAAGTGTTCTTCTCTTTGTACTTTGAACAAGTTCCAAACTTTAAAAACATTCCGATAAAAAATAGGCATTCCATTAATGTTCATTTTTGACAAGTCCATAAAAAAAAGACTTCTGTCCAATTTCAAATGTCCAAGATGTTGTAGTATCTTACACGCAAC